TGTCATTAAAGTTATGTAAGCCATCCTCCCATTCCTGGTATCGCACCATCATTCCACATCTACTGCATTTTTTCCCATAAGTTGTCACACCTGAAATGCATAAGTAGATCATTAGAGCATTTAGTGGTATATACAACTTGGAAAAGGAAGAATAACTGTCAATTTTAGTTCAAATGTGACACAGACCCTCGATGATTCCCTTGACAGTAATGATTTTTGCTGATTTGCTGATGATCAGGGGTTCACCAAGGGGAAGATCACCAGGACATTCAGGACAAACACACTCTTTGGGCATCAGATGTTTAGGCACGTCTGACTCACTTGTCAACCCATACACATTTGCAGGCAAGTCTGCAGGAAGCCTTTTCTTGTTGTGAATGTACCTAACAATTCTCCCCAAATCCTGATCTCGAGGGGGATACTGAAAATCACTTGAGGTGACAGTTTCCACCTCGTCTTCAGAGCCCTGACTATCTTGAGTATCCTCGCTCTCATCTCCCGTGAAGAGCTCCTTTCTTGTCTGGAAAAAGTGCCATTTCGCAATGGCCTTGTGGACACAGGCCTGTTTGGCTTTAACACAATGGCAATGCCACGTGTTATTTGCTGTGTCAAACATGACCATCACTCTGCCAAACTTGTTATAGTAAGACAGATTTGCCTCATAAATGGAAACATATTTTCTTGAGGAAGAGCTTCCCACCTCAACATCAACACTGAAGGGGATCCCTTCAGTGTTTGCCGCCGTTTTTTTCAGAAGACATGCCCTCTTCCGCTCCTCGCTGAACCACCTGCTACTGACAATGTCCCTCAGAACATCCTCCCTTAGTTCTATCTGAGGGCTGAGGGGTGGTGGGCAGTATTGCAGGGACTGCAGATGGGCACAATCAAAGGATATAAACCCACTCCTATGCATCACCTCAGTGTTGCGCACACAGGCATCCAGCTCACAACGAATTTGATGGCTTGTCCCCCACGTCCGCTTCTGTACATGGATGGGTGCACTATTGCTGCTGAAGGACTTTACAACAGCAAATATTCCCCTTTCAATCTCTATTGGCTGACATGCCAGATGACGGTCGGCTGTAATGTCCTCCTTGACAGTTGAGTGGCGTCGTCTCATATGCTGCTTTAAATTTTTTTTATTTAGCACTAATTCACACTTTGTGCACTTAACCTTTCTGACCCTCGAACGTAGGCCAACTGTTTTTTTTGGTTGATGGTCTACCATGGCCTCCACAGGGTGAAGCCGGGCTTCTACCATGGCCTCCATAGAGTTCAGTGGGCCTTCTGCTGGCTGAGGGTGTGGTTGGCCTTCTGCTGGCTGAAGGTGGGGTTGGCTTTCTACTGGCTGAGGATGGGGTTGGCCTTCTGCTGGCTGAGGGTGGGGTTGGCCTTCTGCTGGCTGAGGGTGGGGTTGGCCTTCTGCTGGCTGAGGGTGGGGTTGGCTTTCTGCTGGCTGAGGGTGGGGTTGGCTTTCTGCTGGCTGAGGATGGGGTTGGCTTTCTGCTGGCTGAGGATGGGGTTGGCTTTCTGCTGGCTGAGGGTGGGGTTGGCTTTCTGCTGGCTGAGGGTGGGGTTGGCCTTCTGCTGGCTGACGGTGGCATGTGCTGAGGTGTCTAAGCAGTTTTTTTTTTCTTTGAAAAATTTGAATACAAGCACAGCAGTGGTAGTGGGACTCCTTTCTGCAGCCCCATTTGCAGGTATACATCACAAACTCTGAAAGGTAAAAAACAAAGCAGGCTTTAATAACTGGTCCAAACACAAGTGCCTTCTTGACCACGGTTAGTGTCCTCACCTTCTTCATATCAAAACAAAGGTTATTAATTTAAACCAATGAATCAGCCAATGAATCAGTAAACATACCTCCATGCTGTACCACTGTTTTCATATGGGACTGTAAATGTGTTTCCACTTTTGAGTAGTCACCCTTATAAAGTGGGCAAAAGGGGCAGTGGAGAAATTGGCATCCTTGCTCAGAACACCTTGTGGGCTGGGGCTTCTGACTGCTCTGCAGAATTGACAGATGTAGCTATAGATAAGAGATATAGATGGAGAACATTAACCAAGCTCAACTTACTTTTCTCCCCCTCCTAGCACTAGCTACTACCTGATTGAATCCAAGAAATCTTCAGGTGAGAAACTTAAAACTCTGTTAAAAAACTATGTGAAAACGAAGTTAGTAAACAATGTGCGTTTATTAAATATGTACCTGTAGAATAATGTTACTTACCATCACCAAAATGCTCCCAAAACAAAGCGTGCCCACCAATGTTATCGGTCACCAAAAAGAAGCAGCGTGGCCGCTACATCATGCCTCTTAGCTAACACGTTAACAATATTAAATTCAAACCTGATAATACATTTCATATATTGAAATAAATTTGATAAAATACAGTAATTTCACTTAAATGGCAATGAAAATTATTAATTGCCATTTAAGTGAAATTACTGAACTTGTATACAAGCTTGATAAAAATTATAATTCTATTAGAAAATTTAAATAGCACTTAGCTTTTGCATCTGAATATATTCTGTTACTAAAACCAATACCCACATAAAATATATTCTAGAATCCAGTAACAACACACACCCTTTAAAGTTGAGATGAAAAACTATGAATTTTAAATGAATTTATTATCAGGGTTGAATTGGATTAGCATTTATCCTGGATTACAAATGTGAAAAATACCTGCGTGGAAATCTTTTAGGTCCAAGCAACTCTATATTCAGAAAAAAAATATATTTTACACAAATTTGCGCACCTGAATAAGCATTGGTTTTGCATCACTTTTACAGTTAAACAAACTGAAAGCAGTTATTTTAACAACATAACGCACTATTCGAATTTTGGGATTGATTTATTAAGGTCTTTACTCAAAATATAAAACTTTGTTGTCTCAACAACATTACTATTACCACTAAGTTTATTCTTCCCATTGTATAACATCAATGGTGTTTTGCCAGGTGAGATTGAGTGTGTTTAAAGGCTTTTTGTGTACAGTTTGACCACCGTTTCTATGCTATATCTGTAAAAGACTATTTTAGACAAAGATAACGTTACCTACCACCAAAACGAGGCAACGCGCCCACCAAAGTTATCTGTCACCATAACGAAGCAGCGTAGGTGGCCGCTACTTCATGCCTCTTAGTATCTATAGAAATGCTTAGTATCTAGCTAACACGTTAACATCCAACTTAACAATGTAACGTTACTGTGCTAATGTTAACTTAGTCTTCGCTGCAAACTCTAGCTTCTAGCTACAAACAGTATACGTTGCGTGAGCTGCGGAGTTGTGTGTGTGTGTATGCGGCTATTCTCTGGCAGTTTCCAGTAAAAGCTATTGAGTTATTTCAACCACCGGTTTCAGTGCCTTATTCGAACCCTCAAGATATTACAATTAGCTATGGCTAAGACGAGATAGCATGACATTAGCGGCTACCGAACCATTGCCGTGATTATTAATATCGGATTCGGATACCATATAAGATTAAGACGACACGACAGCTATATCAGTGACATAAATGAGAATACTTCCCAGTCAATGTTGTAGAAATAAACAATAGCCTACTTACTGACATAATCTCTCATCGAATGACCGCTTGACTACTACTTCTCCCGGGAAAATTACCACGAGGTAAAATTGCCCATACAGAAAGGGAAATGACATCATACCCAGTGTGCCTTGCGAAACTCTTCGTGATTGGACGATGAAACGCTGTCAGGAACGCCCGATGGGCTTTCTTGTGTCATTAGGGGAACGCCCAAGCCGCAGCTGGACCCTCCTCGAATTTTCGGCAAGTGGTCCGAAAAGTTACGGGTACAGAACTGCTAAGGGTAAGGTCTGTATGAAGGCCAAAGGCATCACACTGAATGCTGTAAACTCCGAGACCATTAGGTTAGACACATTAATTGGGCTTGTCGATCAATATGTGAGGGGGCGGGGTGACAGTAATCACATTCTCGCGTACACCGACAGTATAGTGAGGAACAAAAAGCAGTTCACATTGCACAACAAGTCAGTTGTGAAAAAATTTAAAGTCGTATACAACAAGCGTGTACTGCTACCCGACCTAACTACGCTACCATATGGCTACTGACAACGTTTTTGGGCACCGGGGTGTGGTAGACCCGGATGGTTTTGATTTCAGATTACAACATCCTTTTTAATGTGTGTTAAGCGGTCCTTCTAGCTCAGGAAAAACATTTTTTGTAAAAAAGTTGTTGGAAAATGCTAAAAGTGTAATTTCTAAAAAAATTGAAAACATTGTGTACATTTATGACTGCTGGCAACCTATGTATGATGAATTGTTGAAACTGTATGATATTACATTTATTGAAGGTATACCGCAGACTCTGAATGATGATCGCTTGTTTCCCACCAACAAGACCAATTTTGTGATATTGGATGATATTATGAAAGATGCTAGCAGCAATTCAGAAGTTGAACGTTTGTTTACCAACTATGTGCACCATAGAAGCTTGAGTGCAATATATATCGTACAAAACTTATTTTTTCAAGGTAAATCCAGTAGGACTATCAGTTTGAACACTAATTATTTGGTATTGTTTAAAAACCCTAGAGACAATACCCAAATTAATGTCTTAGCGCGGCAGATGTACCCCAGGAACACAAAATACTTTAGTGTTATGAAAATGCTACCAGCACCCCTTTCGGGTATCTATTGATTGACTTTAAAGCGAAAACACCAGAACAGTACCGTCTCAGAACAGATATCCTGTCACAACATCCAGTTGTGTACATTCAGAAAAGAAAACATTGACAGAGAGATTTGAAAATGTCTGCAAGACTTTTAAGAAACCTACCTCTTTTAAAATTGTTCGGAGTCTTGGGATATTTTGGCTGTTTTTGAGTAGTTTTTATTTTTTTTATTTTGCGACATAAAAAAATATTTACCTTACCATTGTTTGGTATAATTTTTTTTCAGCACAACATCACCTATATGACCAGACAATTAGTTTTTCACTTTGCTGTACTGTATCAACATACTGGACCCAAAATCACACAAAAAACACAAAATCCGAATAAAAAAATTATAGCTTTTTTACCACAAAAAAGACAAACATGCTCAATGAAGCATTTTAAAAGGTTTATAATGTAAACACAAGTTGTACATATCAACATATACAGGTACAATTCAGATATAATCAAGCTATATACAAAAAAAAAAAATAGTTAAAAAAAAAAGCGGGTGTAGCCATAGGCTTTCTTTTTTCTTTTTACCTTTGCCACTTTTTAAAACAGTTTATGCACACAATTATACAGAGAGCTATATTTAAGGCCTTGCATTCCCAGAGTATGAGGGTTCCCAAATAGTGCAAATACAACATAATTTTACCTTTTTTGAGATAAAATCAAACTATATACAGCAAAAAGCAGGTGTGGCAATTGACGTTTTTTTTCTTTTCTTTTTTGCTTAGAAACTCAAAACAATTCATGTACAATTACACAGACAGCTAGATTACAGGGCTTTCATTCATTGAGTAAGATGGGTTCCTAAATAGTGCAAATATACTATAAAAAAGGTGAATGAACACAAAATCAAACTATAAATACTACTATTTACAACAAATATCAGGTGTTTTTTTGTTTTTTGTTTTTTTGATCTGTGCCACTCCTCAAAACAGTTTCTGTCAACAATGAGACACAGGGCTACATCACAGGCCTTGCATTTCCATGGTGTGAGGTTTCTTTTCTTCTCCACTTGCTGGCAACGATGGCAGATCCTGCGGCCTTGTGTGGCTTTCTCTTTGACATCTGTAGCCACGCCAATGGCAACAGGAACATGGTCGGTGCTCCTCTGGATGGCAACTCCTGTCTTGTCCACTCCACACAGCTGGGACACCAGTTCTTCCAGGAAGTTCTTGTGTGTCATGTGCTGAACCTGTTGTGTGTGGCTTATCTCACAGTGTAGGATGTAGGCATTTGTTGTAGCGATGTCCACAAAGTGCAGAAACAGTGTACGGTACCAGCGAGCAGTTCTGCGATGGGTCGAGTAATACTGGAGAAGCTGGTCTGACAGGTCAACCCCTCCCATGTTCTTGTTGTAGGCAATGATGGGGGTAGGGCAGGGAATGTCTTTTACTGCCCAGTGTCCATCTCCACCCTTCACTCTCCTCTGGACAGCCTTACCAGAAAATGCTGGATGGATTGTGGAGCACAGCGACACCTCCCGTGTGTCCATCCACTTCACAAAGACCAGGGGGCCCTCTCTGATCCATCTTATGGTGCCTCTCTTGGATTTTTTGTTGAGGGCATTTGCTCTTTTACTAGGACACCCTTTCCTGTTGTCCCTGTAGGTACCACAGGCTCCAAAGTTAATGTTAGCTAAACCAAGGAACAGTTTGGGGCTTGTGTAGAAGTTGTCCATAGAAATATGGTATCCTGTCCCAAGATGTGATGGCTGAATGAGGTCCATGACAGCATCATACGACAGTCCATGCATGCTTGGTGTGTGTGACTTGCCCACATACAGATTGAAGTTGAGTGTGTAGCCATTACTTGACTCTGCCAACACAAACAGCTTGATCCCCCATTTTGTTGGTTTGTCCTTCATATATTGGGTCATGCCAGTTTTTGCTTTGGTTGCCACCATTCTCTCATCGACTGCCAGTTCCTTCCTTGGGTGGTAATGAGCCTTGCAGACATTCCGAATGTCATCCATCAGTGGTTGGATTCTGAACAGCTTGTCATGCTGTGGTGTTCCCTTCTTCTGGTCATTTCTGACATCCTCCTCTGGATCACTGAGGTGGATGTTCCAAGATAACGCCCTGAATCGGTCTCTTGTCATGACAGTGGCTGGAAACGGCACAGACATGAAGTGGTTTTTTTCTCCAGTAGTCCTGGAGACTTGGCAGTGACACCAATGATGTGTACATGAGGAGACCTAGGTATTTGTATAGTTCCTCAACTTCAACATCAGTCCATTTGTACTTATTCCCCATTTCCTGTTTTTTTGCTGCCTGCTTGTTGGTGTTTTTGCAGAGTGTCTTCATGGTATCCCTGGCAAAGTACAGCTGGAACAGGTCCATTGGCGATTGTACTGAATGCATATTCACCTGGGCTCCTGGTGTTCTGCGGGGCATGAACCTACTGGTTTGTGGGGCAGTATCAGGATCACTCTCGGTTTTCCAGGGCTCAGAGCTGTGGTGTGGCTGTCCTGACTTTGCTGGAGATCTTGATCTGGTTTGACTCTTCCTTCCACCCCCTCTCTGTGTAGGCCTCTGTCTGCTTGTTGTCGGAGTGGTAGATGAACCAGGCTGCTCATCATCTCTGTACGTCAAGACACATGTAAAAAGATTAAAGATTGTACATCAAAGTACAAAATGCTCATTGGCACATATGCACAACAATTACAGTGAAGAAGTCGTTGGCAATGAAATGCTTGTTCACACAGCCACACACACACACAGACAGACAGACAGACACACACACACACACACACACACACACACACACACACACACACACACACACACACACACACACACACACACACACACACACACACACATATACACAAAATAATATACAATAAGCAAGCAATAAATGTACAGTACAACACACAATGTACAATAACAGACAGACAGAGACACACACAGACAGACAGAGACACACACACAGACAGACACGTACACAGACAGACAGACAGAGACAGACACACACACAGACAGAGCAAGAGACACACACACACACACAATATACAATAAGCTAGCAATAAATGTACAGTACAATGCACAATGTACAATAAATGTACAATAACAGACAGACAGAGACAGACAGACACACACACACACACACACATATACACAAAATAATATACAATAAGCAAGCAATAAATGTACAGTACAACACAATGTACAATAACAGACAGACAGAGACACACACAGACAGACAGAGACACACACACACACAGAGACAGACACACACACACACACACACAATATACAATAAGCTAGCAATAAATGTACAGTACAATGCACAATGTACAATAAATGTACAATAACAGACAGACAGAGACAGACAGACACACACACACACACACACACATACACAAAATAATATACAATAAGCAAGCAATAAATGTACAGTACAACACACAATGTACAATAACAGACAGACAGAGACACACACAGACAGACAGAGACACACACACAGACAGACAGACACACACAGACAGACAGACAGACAGACAGACAGAGACAGACACACACACAGACAGAGCAAGAGACACACACACACACACACACAATATATATATACAATAAGCTAGCAATAAATGTACAGTACAATACACAATGTACAATAAATGTAAGTTACAATAACAGACAGACAGAGACAGACAGACACACACACACACACACACACACACACACACACACACACACACACACACACACACACACAGACAGACAGACAAGACAGAAACACCTCTCGTTCTGAACCACAAAAGCCGAGTCGTCAATCTCATCATCACCACTTTCTGATTCCGACGATGAACTGTAAACAACGTCCTGGTCGTCCAGTCGATAGAACAAGTCGAGGGCTTGTTCAAGCGAAAACATTCGCTTCATTTTACTTCCACAAAACACTCTAAATCTACTCCTAAACTACCTAAATTATCTACACTACTTCACTCCTCTAAACTAGCAATAATTTCTCTCAGTATGTCTCTCCTTGTCAACTCCGTCAATCTCCCGCCTTTCAATTTCGCTTCTTTGCTCAGTTGGCTCCTCCTCCACTCCCTAAAGTGTGCAGCCTGAAGAGCAGATTCAGCAGATTTACACATTTTTCTCCGTTTTGTTTTATGACAAAAACCGACAAAGTTATTAGAATAAATGCAACGCCTGTCGCATCCCATCTTGCGTTCTTTTACGAACGCGTCAATATTTTTCAATATTTTTTTTATATAAAGTTTAAATGATCATATCTCCGTTTTTTATTTGGTCAATCAACACAAAACAAAAAGTAGAATAGAGTTTCAAGTCAGCACTTTCAACAGAAGTGGACGGCAGTGCTCAACGTGACTTTGTTTTTATGCTTTGACGTCTTAAACTGGTCATGTGACTTGATCACGCCGGCGTGATCGGCGACTCGGAAGAGTTAAAAGCCACGCCTAAACAAAGACGCGTTATTTTAGAGGCGGCTGCAGACGAAATCATTGTGACATTGTGTGAAGTAGCTCTTAACGTAGTCCACGGTAATATTCCGCTAACACCACAGCAATATCAGAAACTGAAGAGAAGAAGAAGTGAGATCAAAATTGTTGCAGATAAAAAGGTTGGAGTTAGAGGTAAAAGACGGTTAATCAACCAACAAGGAGGATTTCTACTACCTTTGTTAAGTGTGGCAATCCCGTTTATAACCAGTTTGGTTACATCTAAATAAGTTTGGTGATGGAGTATGCCGAGAAGATGTTTTTAGTACCGGAACACCAGTTGGATAAGCTGAAATCCTCTAACACCCGTGAGTCTATACAACAGGTTGTGTAGAATGACCTGGACATGACTATAAGAAATATTTTGCACAGGTCTGATCTGGATCACCATGAAAAAGCTAAGATGTACACAGGTGTTTTGCAGCGGTTTTTAACACTCACTAGACAAGGGGATAGAGAATCCGGTACATTAACATTAAGGCTACCACAGCCTAGTAATGTTGAAAAAGAAGACCCACCTGCACCAGGCCATGTGCGTGCCATGACGATTTAGGTAATTTTGCAGATGAGATTTTAAAGAATATTCCACAGAGGAGTGTGAAAAATGTATGTTACATTTTAGATAAAATGTCTAAAACTAAAGATGTTACTTCATGGACGGAGTCGGGAGAGTTTGTGTTTAAAGGCAGAACAATCCCTGGTTCACACATTCTTGACTTAGTTAAAAGCGTCACGGCTCCACAAAAGATTGTTGACGAGCGGAGACCTGGCGGGTGGCGTGAATTTCTGGAGGCTTTTGCTAGTTTAAATTTGCCATACTCTGTGGTACCAAACCACAATGTCAGACATGCAATTAACTCTTTCAAAACCAAATCGACCACGTCTATAACAGGATCATCTAAGAGGAGTAAGAAACAGAAAGACCCGAGTCGGTGGTTAAGTTTTTAAACTAACAGTTTGTATGTATTGAGTTCTCAATTTCTCTCTTTTTTTTTTTTTTTGAGAACTTATGATGTGATGTATGTGTAATAAAAGTGGGGATAAAGAAACAAAATTCCGTTCTTTAGTTGTTTTTATTAAAATATTAAGCATGAGACATGAACATTTCACCCATTTGTACACACTGAACACATTTGAAAACATTTTCACTACATGGAGCTTGTTTTAGTTTTCTCACAAATGCTGACACCTTTTTGTCATTTTTAATAAAATCGTTGGTATACAATTTCATCACATAATCATAATCAAATCCCTTTGCCATGTGGTAGAGAAAGAACACACAATGTTGTCCACATGTGTCTGATGAAAAAATCTTGGACTTGCACAGTTGAATGTAGTACTTGACTAGAGTTGAGCTTTAAAAAGTTTTTGATAATCGGCGGAAAACCATGATAATCTGGCTTATTACCGAAGCTGTCGAAAAAACATCCTACACCATCCTCATTTATGTAGATAGCCAACCAATGTTCCCCAGGGAGTCCTGAAGGGTGTGTATTGATCAAAACCATTGCTGGTAGTTTTCTTAAAGGGGTTTTTGGTAGATAGTCACATGGTAGAACTCCAAGAAAATAAGTATCGCATGAAACCTTATCCATGACAGCCGTAAGCTGTACAGTATTCATTTGAGCGTATTAGTAGTAATCAACCAGGATCTGTCGGCGTTTTGACACTTCAATCAAACTATCAAACAAAGCATAAACTATTAAGTTAACCGTGCGTGGTAGTGGCTGTCTAAAACGGGCTTCTAGTCTAATATTGCCACTTTTGGTAAGCGATACGTGCTGGCTACACTCCTCATCTGGTGTGAAATTGAACGCATAGAGTGTATAGCCGTGCAGAAAATCCTCTCTATCGATACATAGAGGCTGGTTTTTAAGATGCCTTCCAGAAGCCAGCGCTAGCTGGTAAAACTTCCGCACTGCAGAACCATTTTCATAATCAGGTTGCAGGGGCTTCGCTGGGTACTGTTGCCCATCCAGATAAATGGCCAGAAATTCTAAATCATAGTTTTTAAACGCAAATTGGTTTTTATTATAGGCACCCACAAATGCATCATTATCAACCATAGCTAGAACCAGAGATTTTGGCAGAGTTCCTAAGAACAAGTTTTCTTGATTGCAGACACGTGAGCCTGCAGGTATTGAGAAGTTTTTCAGACACACTCTGTCGATGGGGTATTTGGCTGTGGTTGAGAGTAGGGCTTGTGCATGCCCCAGTCTCACAGCTGGCGACACAGACACTTTTTTTCACAAATAGCGACGCAGACATGATGTTTAGTTTATAGGCTGTAGCGTTGCTCCTCATCAGGCAGAATTCATCTTTACCTCTAGTCATTCTAATTTTAAGATCTAATCCATTAAGTAATAGTTTTTCCTGAAAGAAGATATCACTGTGAACAGGTGCGAGTAGTTCGACCACATTACTAGCGTTGGTGAAGGCTGCTCTCTTTGTCAGCCCGCGATTTCCCCCAGCCGGGTCAGCCACATCCATATGGCCCGCAGTGTCCAGGTAAAAGAGCCCTGCTGAGAAAACCGTTTCAAGGGCGTCTTTACCATAATTGGTAAGACATTCTGTAAGGCTGGTGCCGGTATGTCTGATCAACCCCTCAATGTGACAAAAGGCCCTCCTGGGAATTAACACTTGAACTATCCCTTGAATATGTAACTCCCTCTTGCATATGTAACAGGAACTTTGGAGACGCAGCACACAGTGCAGTTCACACTTCACCCACACTATCTCCCCCACATCCCCCTCCTCCTCACCTGAAATACACTGAAACCTTATGCAATGTCATGTGTGTACAAAAATGTAAATACTCATGTTTGGTGTCTTTTGATGTATCACAATGCGCCTGGTGACATGGTCTCATTCTCC